GAAGCCAATACAGCATAAAGTATTGATGAGTCGAGGACTTATGGGATGTCAGGGTCTCTCTGTCATCGCATTGTTTGCAGTCAGCCCTATCCTAGAGCTCAGGAGCCTTTTGGTGAGTCATATGAGGCAATGTACTAAGTAGGGATGCACAGATACCGTTTTTTCGGTATCGAGTATGAGTACCGATACCGGTTCTTATGCTGCCATGGAGCCAGCTTCCCGGGCAATCTGATTGCCAGAGAAGACAACTCCATGTTGTGTAACCTGCTTGATTGAGCTTGGCTGGGAAACCGGCTTCCCAGGCAATCAGCATCAAACGGGCTTCCTGGCCAATCAGGAAGCCAAGGGGCGAGTAATGACCCACCTCCCAGCTTCCTGATTGCTGGAAAGCCGGCATCCCAGCCAATCAGCATGGAGCCGGCTTATTCGGCTGGCTCGATGCCGATTTGGCCAAGAAGCCAGCTTCCCGGCCAATCCGGAAGCCAGGAGGCGGGTTATTACTCGCCCCCCCAGGTTCCTGATCACATGGGAAGCTGGCTCCATGTTCCCCTACGGCACTGCCGGTCAGAGGAAAATCTTTCTCTAACCGGACTTTCCGTTATCGGGGAAGGTATCGAAGCATTTGGGTGAGTAGAAGTACTCTCCCAAATAATCTGTATCGGCACCAATACTAGTATCAATGCATCCCTAGTTCTAAGTATACAGAGCATCTTTCCAACCTGTCCTTACGCCTTAGTAGTATCGCTTCTCGGCCTTTTGGCTAAGATCAAGTGTAGTATCTGTTCTTATCAGTTGTCGGGAACAGAACGGCCGCCGTCGCCTTTGAGCAGGGGTAGATGGCGGCCTAGTAATTCCTGGAGTAATTGGTAAGGGTGCTGGATGAGGTTCCAGGCCATCGGAGCTTTCGACCCTTGTGATGGGTGGGCTCAGGCGGAGGGATCTCTGAAGGCGCCCTGCCTCCTGAGACGAATAGATGCAAAGCTTGGTCTGGCTGGAAGGTTGGGGGCGGCAGAAGCCCGTTGTGTTGTGCCCCCTGGGGGTGGCGTCCCAGGGGTGCTCAGGAAGTCACTTGGGTGTGGGAGACCCACTTTGACTCACTGATCACTCGGTCACACACCACATTGCTATTTTCTGCACAACGCCTCTTGGACAGGCCTTATGGCTAGTCCGGGGCAATTTTTTTAGCACCCGGCCCCCAAGGCCTGTCAGCGTGGTTCACTGGCACTCTATTATTTATGCACTCTATGCACGATTGGCTTTTTTTTAAAGCTTTTTGACCCACAGATTGCTGATGGTGCAGGTTTCTTCGGGGCCTATTCCTGACGCTGGGAGGAGATTCTGCGCCTCCTATGGGGTTCTCTGTCTCCTCCCACCCAGGAGGGGGGTTTCTCTTCGGGAGATCCCCCCTGCCTAGTACTGTGTGGGACCTGTTTCTGCAGGTCCCCGAAGGAAATGGTCCACCGGCCTTCGGGTTGGTGGGCCAACAATCTCAACCCCTGTCAGGAGCCTTGCGCCTCGGAGGTCGGGAAAGTAGGTCCCTTCTTTGGAAGGACCTTGCACCCTTGTGCACGTTTTTGTGTGCTGTGATTTCACGGTTGCACTTTTTTTGTTCACAGGGGGAAGTTTTGATGCACGTCCACGGGCTTCGATATAAAAAAAAAAAAAATGAGTATACTGTGGTACTTATAGGTTGGAGGAGGATAGGTAAGAAGGACCCTGAGGGGAGTGTCTAGAATTCCAGGCTCCGGGTATTTGTGGGCTAGAGCTATAAAAGGTATCTGAGTCTCCGATGTCACCCCCTGACCTTGCCACCAGGAGGCAGATAAAAACTCAAATGACAAAAGCTGTCCACGCCTCTAACATTCACGTTCTGTACAGTTAAACTTGGTCTCGGTGAATATCGGGTATTTGTTGCCAGTCGTCACCAAGTCCCTCTTTGTTGTTTACCCGGAACAGGTGCCGATGTCATCTACAGCCAACTGATGAGTGACTTTGCCACGGACGAGAAGGAGTTTGAGGCAGATTCGTGGAGCTTAGCCGTGGATAATAATTACCTTCAGCACCACAAGAAGGACGTCATGAAACGTCAGGATGTCATCTATGGTGAGCACTAGGGGGGTTTAGAAGAATGGCTTACAGCACGTGGATGGTAGATCAAAGATGGCCACCGTTAGGAGCATCATTAGGGGGGTCTGTTTATTAGAAATGTGTGAATCTTGGTTGAAAACTTTGATAAGGCTTCATGGATTTCATCTTCACAGAGCTCATCCAAACGGAGGTCCATCATGTCCGGACACTGAAGATCATGACCAACATTTTCCGGAAGGGGTTGCTGGAGGACCTGCAGATGGACCCGGCCCTGGTGCAGAAGATGTTCCCGTGCGTGGATGAGCTCAGCGACATTCACATCCGCTTCCTCATCCAGCTGCTGGAGAGGCGCAAAGATTCCCTGGCTACCGACAGCAACAAGAATTTTGTCATCAACAAGCTGGGAGACATCCTCATCAACCAGGTATATGGGCCTGCAACTGGAATAGACCAATCACAAAGCTGCTCCACTCCAAGCATCCTAGAGTTGCTACACCTTTTGTATTACCAGGTGGTATATAGTGCACGGAGGTCCCCACCATGTCATACATGTGGGACAAGTGCAGAATAACCTTCAGTCCTCTGTGATAAGACCAAATAAAGTAGATGGAGGACATCTTTGGTTTTCTTAAATCCTCACATCCAGAATTTTTAATTCCTTGGCCAAAAGTTACCTGAATTTTCATTTAATTAAGGTGGAACTCTAGTCTTATCTTGAGTTTTGTACAGTTGTGCGGTCTCCTGAAAGACATTGCTGTAAAAATGTGGCTCACCAAAGACCTTGAGAGAAGGTCCTCACGGAGAAACTTAAAATTTAGAAACTTCCCATGCCGAGTATGTAACGTGGAGGTGTTGTGGGTGGAGATTTGTAGTCGGGTGACCTTGTGTTCATTGTAGTTTTCAGGGACCAACGCAGAGCACATGAAGAAGGCCTACACGGAGTTCTGCAGCCAGCATCAAAAGGCTGTAAAGCTCTACAAGGAACTCTTCGCCCGAGACAAGAAGTTCCAGCAGCTCATACGGGTGAGTTTTGTTGAGGTGGTAAGACGTGTTCTCTCGCCTTCATAGCTTTCAAGACTTGACATGGCCGTCCTCGTTGTTTTACAGAAAATGACCCGCTCCCAACTCCTCCGCAGGCACGGTGTGCCGGAATGTATTCTACTGGTGACCCAGAGGATCACCAAGTACCCAGTTCTCATGGATCGGATACTTCAGAACTCCAAAGGTAGGCAGTGTGTCTATAAGCTGTCCATGTGTAAATGTGGGTCTTCTGCAGACCAGGTCAGTGCACCCAGAACTGATATTTTGGTATTTGGTGAATGCTGGCGAGTTAAACCAACCGACTTTTTGTTTTCTATTCCTTGGGAACTCTTTTGGTGAGATTTCCAAGGAATTGGGGAAGGGAGAGCTCCCTTTTGGAGTACCCAAGACCTATAAGAAGCCAGGTGTCAACTGGTCACCAGGCTCCACCGATACAGGGGTCAACTGGTCACCAGGCTCCACCGATACAGGGGTCAACTGGTCACCAGGCTCCATTGATACAGGGGTCAACTGGTCACCAGGCTCCACCGATACCTATTCAACTCCAAAAATATTTGTGTTGTCAGTGTTGTAAATGACAGTGGCTGATGGTTCATGAACATCCCAAAATGTATCTGTAGGTGATGAAGAGGAGTACCAGGATCTGGCGGCCTCACTGACCCTAGTCAAGGAACTTATCACCTCCATTGACCAGGAGGTGGACAACTACGAGAAGAACCTGCGATTGCAGGAGATCTATCAGAAGGTGGACAGCAAGTCTTATGCCCTTGTGCAGGGCGACTATTGCTTTGGGAAGGAGGAGCTACTAAGACGAAAGCTGATTCATGAAGGGTCTCTGCTGTGGAAGACTGCTGCCGGCCGCTTCAAAGGTACAGAGGGGGTTGGGGAGACGTAAGCCTTGTGGTCAACTTGGTCATGTTCCTGTCTTGAATATTAACAAGTCTTTCTATCACTGAGGAACTCTTGAAATAAATTTCAGGTCTCAGGGAATCTCGGGGAAAAAAATTGTTCTGTCTATCAAGGTATTTTGATATTTGCATAACTACTCCCACTGTTTGCATCAGGGCTGAGGGCTCTTTAGAGGAGTACAGAGGCAGGGTGCTGTGATGGTTTCAGGCAGCTATGTACAGCACCTTGCAGGGCCCTCTCACCACCAGAACTGAAATAGAAGGGAATGGGACACCTTTTCTGGTGACAGCTGTCCAAGAGGAGATTTCCTCTCACTTCTTGTTGTGTCTTCAGGGCAAGTAGTGAAGGAAATCTCCCCAAAAGCACTCAGATGCCCAAAACATCTTTACATGGGTTTTAGCCATTTACTACTCCCTCCAAAATGAAAATGTCGTTTGTTTTGTTATGTTGATTGTAGCTCTTTTCTCACCCAGATGTCATCATGCTGCTAATGACAGATGTCCTGATTCTGCTTCAAGAAAAGGACCAAAAATACTACTTTCCCACCCTGGTAAGAGCCCATAAGGCGTCCTCTAATGACCTCACTAGAAGTCCTCCACATCCTCTAATAACCTCACTAGAAGTCCTCCACGGGGTCTTCTGCGTCCTCTAATGACCTCACTAAAAGTCCTCCACGGGGGTCTTCTGCGTCCTCTAATGACCTCACTAGAAGTCCTCCACGGGGGTCTTCTGCATCCTCTTATGACCTCACTAGAAGTCCTCCATGGGGGTCTTCTGCTGTGTCTTTGAAGATGTTTAGTTGATGCCAAATCTGTCCTTCTCCCAACACATTGTAGGACAAGTCGGCCGTGATTTCCTTACCAAACCTTATCGTCCGGGACATCGCCAATCAGGAAAAAGGGATGTTTCTAATCAGTGCCAAGCCACCAGAGATGTATGAGGTGCACTCAGCCTCACGGGAGTTGAGGAACATGTGGATGAAGGTCATTTCACAGTCTGTAAAAGTGTAAGTATGATTATAGAACGGAAAACCTATACTTTGTAACCAAGAGGAACAAGAAGGTCACGAGATGTGGGTCTGTCAGAATGGGAGGAGATATGGATCCACCATAAAAGGAAAAGATATAGGTCCACCAGAATGAGAGGGGATTCGGGTTCACCAGTCTGTTGAGATAACAGTACACCGGACTGAGAAGAGATAAGGGTTCACAAGAATGTGAGGTGATTCAAATCTACTAGAGTCTGGGGAGATTACAGTCCACCAGACTAAGAGGAGATAAGGGTCCACCAGAATAAGAGGATATATCTTCTCCCAATCTGGTGGACCCATAAGGGTCCACCAGAATGGGAGGAGATGAGGGTCCACCAGCATGGGAGGAGATGAGGGTCCACCAGAATGGGAGGAGATGAGGGTTCACCAGAATGGGAGGAGATGAGGGTCCACCAGCATGGGAGGAGATGAGGGTCCACCAGAATGGGAGGAGATGAGGGTCCACCAGAATGGGAGAAGATACGGGTCGAGGGAGATACAAGTCCATCAGATTGAGAGGAGATAAGGGTCCACCAGAATAGGAGGAGATATCTTCTCCCATTCTAGGGGACCCATATCACCTCCCATTCTTGTGGACCCAAAAGGGTTCACAAGAATGGGAGAAGATGTGGCTCCCCAAGAATGCGAGGAGATAAGGATCCGCCAAAATGTTAGGTGATTCAAGTACACCACAGTCAGGGGAGATACAAGTCCACAAGAATGTGAGGAGATACAAGTGCACCAGAATGGGAGGAGAGGTGGGTCCACCACCATCAGTTGGTCTCTGAGATGTCTCTTACACCAAGTCATGGAATGGTTCTCTTTTCTTTCAGATGTCCAAAACGGGAGGAATTCCCTCTAATTGAAACGGAAGTGGATGCCAAATTGAGGAAATTGAAAGGTAAGTGCCGTACTTGATTTAGGTAGTCATTGAAGGTGCCTAAAGAAAGAACAACATTGTAAAGATAAACACCCGGACCCGGGACTTATAATTCACAATCAATGGTTGGTTATTGGGATTGTCACATTTCATTAAGTAGGTTGCCTGTGAGTACATTTGTATAGCATGTGGGAAGAATGGGTCTACGTTTGGTCAGTTTGATAGACAGGGAAGCCCTACAGAGATGTGAGGCTTATAATAATAAATAACAATTGGGAAAATAATATCTTATTGGAGTCATCTGGCCACGAGGACCAAAGCACTGTACTGTATTTACCAGCTCAGGACACTGTAGTGCTCTGCATGGGCACATACAGCATCCCCAAAACCCAATACCCCCCCC